TTCTGAATATTTGAGGGAATAAATTCATGTGTATTTTCTCACCTTTGGCCTTGTCACTAATGTCATAGATAATGCAGCTATTTCAGCTGAGGGCTCTGCCAGAAAATATAATTTGACAAGCTGTATTTCCTGATGCAGTTGGTAGCCACACAACAAGGCAGGAAGTGCTACTCCCTTGAATTTTGCTGGCTGAGGCTGTGAATGACAAGGGAGCCCTTGAGTCCTGCTGACCCAGTTACGGGTTCTCTCTAGGGACAATGGCTGTACTGGGTCAGGCAAGGCCACAGAGAACTAGGCTCTGGCTGGGCACTTCTGTTCAGTTTGGCATTTTTCAGGATAGAATTTCCTCCTTACAAATGGGAACTTAAATGTAAACCGTTGTGCAGTGGCCCAGGTAAACCTGGCTGAAGAATGAAAGATACAAGCATCTCATATTTCCTGAAATAAAGTTATAAGAATCTTTGTACCTTTTTGTAGTCCATCTAAACCTATACAGTGCATACATTCCTATTTCGGCTCAAAGCCACTTGGTTGGGAAAAAAAAGATCATGAGCTAGAAGGCCCTTGGAAATTATCTAGTCTGATGATAGGCAAACCCGTGATCATCCAAATGACTTCGGGAGTTTCTGAGAATGTAGACATTTGCACCCTGAGCCACTGAATCAGATTCTCAGAGCATCGGGTCTCCGAGCCAAAAACATTGGCTCACTTCACAGATGAGGAGGTTCTGAGTCAAAGATTAGGCTAGAGTCCCAGTCAGATTATGGCAACAAGGATAACACATTTTGTTTACTCAAACATCAACGTTCTTTAGTTTGTTACCCAAAAAAACGGTCAGTGAAACGGGAGGAGAGGCACGGCTGGGAGTCTTTTGAATCCGTGTAGAAAGATGAGAGGTCCATAAATGAATAGCAGTGGCAGAAAAGGCAGGAGAGCCAAAGTTCTGCGGAGTCGCCCAAGGAAGCCGTCAGCTGAGGGCAGGGGGTTATGGGGCTCAAGGTTGCTGCTCCCAGAGCACAGTCTTCCTTACCTGCGCAGCTGGAAGAACGCTGGCGGATGGGGCCGGTGGGACAGTGACCGCTGCAAGGGGACTGAGTCGTGATAGGATGGCAGGATCTGATGAATCAATCCGGTGCCAAGAGAATCTGAGTCACGGCCGTGTAACAGTGACTCAGTGGCGGGACACTCCCCACACGGAGCTCACAGCTCAGCACTCGCAGAAGGAGGCTCAACTAGGCTCCGGGCACTAGGGGGACACACCTATAGCTGAAGTCGCCCCAGGCTGCTCTTTTCTGTTTAATGCATTTAAACCCAGAATGTGGTTGAATCCTTGTCCCCACCCCAGCTCCAGTGCTGCTTTTTTAGTAGAAAATCAACAACGGTCAAATTGTTTTAATGATACATTTTTTTAAAAGTCAGACTTCAAGAGGATTGAAAGGAGAATAAGATGCTGTTACTGAGTTATCCAATAAGAAGCATTTTTTTTTTTAAAAAAAAAGGCATTTAGGGACACCTGGGTGGCTCAGTTGGTTAAGCGACTGCCTTCGGCTCAGGTCATGATCCTGGAGTCCCTGGATCAAGTCCCACATCGGGCTCCCTGCTTGGCAGAGAGTCTGCTTCTCCCTCTGACCCTCCCGCCTCTCTTGTGCTCTCTCTCTCATTCTCTCTGTCTCAAATAAATAAATAAAATCTTAAAATAAAATAAAATAAAATTTAAAAAGGCATTTACTCAAAAGATTTTTTTTTATAAAGATTTTATTTATTTATTTGACAGAGAGAGACAGCGTGAGAGGGAACACAAGCAGGGGGAGTGGGAGCGGGAGAGGGAGAAGCAGACTCCCAGCCGAGCAGGGAGCCCGATGCGGGACTTGATCCCAGGACCCTGGGATCATGACCTGAGCCGAAGGCAGACGCTTGACCGACTGAGCCACCCAGGCGCCCTCAAAAGATACTTATTGAGTACCTACCATGTAGCAGGCTATGTTCTGGGCATTCTCAGAATGGAAATCATAAATATCTTGGTAATTAATTGGTACTTAGTGAACAAGTTCATACTCCTTTTCCTAGAGTAAGGGCTTCCTGATGTTTGAAGTCTTCTTCTTTTAATATTTAAAAAGGCAGCAATTTAATCAAATGAGGATACCTGAAATGAGATTGTGGCATGCTGGCAAACAGGAAGGACGGATTAGGTTAATTTCATTCTTGGAGGCAGGTTAGACAGAACTCCTTAAAGCTACACATCATAGTTGTGAAAAGTAAAATTTAGTAGGCTGAGAAGCAAAATCCACTGTAATACTCTACATTTTTTTACTTTTGTGATAACCTTAAAACGTACTGGTAAATAATTATAATAATATCACCAGTAGCTACAACTTATAGGACAGTATGTGCCAAACACGGTGCTAACATGCATTTTTAAACATTTAATCCTTACTATAAGCTTATAAGACAAATCTTGTTTTTCCTATTTTGCAGACATGGTACTTGAAGCACAGACGGGGTAAGAAACACATCTAAGATTACACAGCTCTAGAACAAATTCAAACCCAGTTAGTCTGATGCCCAGATCCCCATTTGTTACAAATAAACTCCGGGCCCTCCACAGACATCTTTGTGAATCTGTCAGGCATTATAAATGGGAAGAGGCCAACAAAGGGGTTACGTGCCCAGTCTTTGGGGTCAAGCGTATCTTCTGTGCATCCTGGTTCTGCTGCCGCAGAGCCAGATAGCTCCTGTCTCACTGAGTAGTCGTGGGGATCACGGGATAATCACGTTAAGCACATGAAGCAATTCTTGGCTTTTAGCTCTTGGTTAAGATTAACCATGATGACTATGGTCAAAAAGATGATGGTGGTGGTGACGGTATAGGAGCCAGAGCCTTGCCTTTTGAGAGAAGTCTCTTCTTAAATCGGTCCCGCCACTTCTGAAGTCTGAGTTCTTTTTTTTTTTTTTTAAGATATTATTTATTTGACAGAGAGAGACACAGCGAGAGAGGGAACACAAGCAGGGGGAGCGGGAGAGGGAGAAGCAGGCTTCCCGCGGAGCAGGGAGCCTGATGCGGGGCTCGATCCCAGGACCCTGGGATCATGACCTGAGCCTAAGGCAGACGCTTAAGGACTGAGCCACCCAGGCGCCCCTCTGAAGTCTGAGTTCTTAAGAATAATGACAAATTGTCATCAGATTGCCGGTTTGTTTCTTTCTTCACTCATCATCACCGTTATCGGACTGGGAGGTGGCAATGTCATGCTGAAGAGCCGGGACTCTGAAGCCAGGCTGAGGTGTAAATCTTGGTTCTGACACCTACCTGGTAGCAACTTTGGACTAATCATGAAATGCCTAAGCCCATATTTCTCAGACTCTTTCTGGTAAAGAATCAATTTTTTGTTTGCCTTCCCTCTCTCCTTTCTTCCTCTCCTCCCTTCCTTTCCTCCTTCCTTCCTTGTAATGTCCAATCTGTTGTGGACCAATCCTTTTGCAAAACACAATGGAATTACCTTAGCAGTGTCAAATGGCTACAAACATGCTTAAATGTCAGTTCCTAATTTCTGTCCTAACTTCACTGAGGAATGTGAACAGTTTGTGGACCTCACTCTGAGTCACGCTACTTTAATAAGCTTTTGTTTCATAATCTATGACATGGAGACTCTAACATTTATTTCATGTGGTTGTTACCAAAAAATGAAGTGAAATAATGTAGATAAAGTGCTTAGCACATATGTGCCTAACATATCATGAGCAGTGAAGAACTACGAGCCCCCAAAGAGCTCATATTCCCGGCCTATGGCAGAAACAGGGATGGAGAGACATAAGAGAGAGCTATAAAAAGTAAACATCTTGAGGGCACCTGGCTGGCTCAGTTGGTAGAGCATGAGACTCTCAATCTCAGGGTTGTGAAGTTTGGGCCCCACATTGGGCACAGAGCCTACTTTAAAAAGAAAAAAAGTAGACACCTCAAGTATTCATAGCTGAATCCCACATGAGTTAATTTTTCTCCTTATCTCTTTGGGGAACTGAATCTCTCCTAGGGAAATACATCCCACAAATCCAGTTTTTCTAGTGATGTTTTAAGAAGGGTAAGTGACTAGCCTGGGCTAAGCCCTTGAGTCATGCCAAAGGCCTGTCCATTCTGAACTCTCAACCTGGCTCTTCTGTGTTGCTCAGCAAAAGCATAAGCCTAAAAATAAGCAGTTTGGACACCAAAATGCTGTCCAAAAGCAAGTGCATTATGATCAGGACTTCAGTTGTGGCTCAGAAGTGAAATAGCTTTCCCTGTAATTCCCAGTTAAATTAAATTGAGAAAACACTGCTGAAGTAACATATTTAATAACTGTGTAATTACTCCATTGGTGGTATCATCCATTTGACTTTAGGAGTGGGATGAATAGAGGTCCCACAAGGGCTGGGGAGGAGATGGTGCTGCCCTGCAATGCTACCCAGCAGGACAATTCGTATAATGTACAATACTAGGGCCATCAGGGAGTAAGGCTGAATCACAGTGAAAATTTTCAGCAACCTCCCGGCAACATTCAAAGGCTGTCAGTAAGTGTTTAAGTCGTGGTGCTAACATGAAATAGGACAGAGTCTCCTTGCTCATGATATTTCACTGAAAATGACACAGCTGTAATGAAAGCACCAAAGGGGGGGGGGAACCCATAAAAAAGGAAGATGACAAACATCTCCAAGATTTGTCTGATGACTCTAGGCCTGAGTAATAGCCTCAAAATTATGAAGTAGCCTCATGAAAACAGCAGTTGAGGCATGCCTAAACTATCAGAGTAAAAGTGAGCTCTCAAAATCCAGATTTATATCAAACTTCAGTTTATATCAAACTATATTCAATAATAAATATAAAATATTATTTAATGGAATCATGTTTATTATATTTAAAACCCTTTCCATAAGAAATCCTAATGTAAATATTCTTTTACCTTTCAGCTCTGACATGGAAAGCTCCAATATGGAAGAGCATCTGGAAGATAATATCTCTGTCAAATAAGACATCTAAAAACACTTCAGATGAAGTCTTAAACAGAAATAAATAGGCGGAGAAAAAAGATGTGAAAGTCAAATAAAAAGCCCAAAACCAGTCTGGTTGGTGAGGAGAGAAATCAATACACCAGCACATGTAGTCTCCAACAATGAAAATATGGTAAAATTGCTCCCTTTCCACTAGCCGGCTTGGCATTGTCTAAGGGGCTCCGTGTCCTTATCAGAGAGTGCATAGAAGGAGTGGCGTAGAGCTGGAAAGAAGAAAAGGTCTCGATTCTACAAGTGGAACAAGGGAAAAGGAACATTAATGGAATGACTTGCAAGGGGTAAGAGAAGGGGAATAGAGCAGCCTGCAGGTGGGTGGCTTGAAAGGGCTTCAGAGTATCAGCCTTCAGCCACGCAAAGCTGGGCTGAAAGCTTTCCATAAAATGGCCTCGACAGTGTTTCCTTTGAAAACACAGAGAGAGGATCTATGAAAAGTCCTTAGCAAGTTGCTAAGATGCCCTCTGGGTTAAAGAAGGGAGAGCCATTGTTAAGAATAACAATAACGGTAAAGTAAGAATGGTGATTTAGGGGCTAATTCACCCACGGTTTAATCTGCCAGGCAACCAAAATATGAATATTTTCTGAAACCTGAAGGGCAATAATAAAATATTATTTATATCTTAGGTCTAAATCTGTATGGCTCTCTTAAAGGGAAAATCTTACTATAAGGGGAAAGTGGAAATAAATTTGCCAAAGTTATAAATTGGGGTGTAAGGGGCGCCTGGGTGGCTCAGTCGTTAAGCGGCTGCCTTCGGCTCGGGTCGTGATCCCAGAGTCCTGGGATCAAGCCCCGCATGCGGCTCCCTGCTCGGCGGGAAGCCTGCTTCTCCCTCTCCCACTCCCCCTGCTTGTGTTCCCTCTCTCGTTGTGTCTCTCTCTGTCAAATAAATAAATAAAATCTTAAAAAATAAATAAATAAATAAATAAATAAATAAATAAATAAATTGGGGTGTAAGAAATACTCTAAGGGTTAATTTGATGTCAGGTAGTAAAGTCCCTTAGTGCTTCAATTATTTATTTTTTTTCAAGTTTTTATTTAACAAACAAATTTCCAGTTTGTTAACTTACCGTGGTGTTGTATTAGTTTCGGGTGTATTATGTAGTGATTCAGTGCTCCCGTACATCACCGGGTGCTCATCACAACAGGTGTCCTCCTTAATCCCCATCCCCTATTTCACCCATTTCCCCCCTCCCCATCTCCCCTCTGGGAACGATCAGTTTGTTCTCCATAGTTCAGAGTCTATTTCTTGGTTTTCCTCTCAATTATTTATTTAGTAAGGTACCAAGTAGTTTATGTGATACTATATTACCATTTAGCCTTTAAGCCTTATTACTTAAAAAATAAATATTTCTAAGGCATAAACTGACCCAGCTTTTTCAACAAGCTGGTAGCTTGAGGGGAAAAATGGAGAGGATTTACCGCTATAAATTGTAGAATGTTTACAGAACAGAGCAACCACAGGTAATATGGAGTATCTGGGGGCTCTAATTGAAATAAACCAACTGTAAAAGTACGTGTTTTTTGAGACAACCTGGGAAATGTACTTACGATTTGGATATGAGATGATATTAAGGAAAAAAAGTTAGTTTTATTGAGGGAGATAGTGGCATCATGGCTGTGTAAGAAAATACTCATATTTTCTAAAAATTTGTACTGAAGAACATAATTGTGAAATGGGATCTCAGTGGCTGAGTTTTGCTTCCAAATACTTCTAAAAAGGGAAAAGCAGGGATGGATGGAACAGAGGCAGTAAATGCTTGCTTGGTATCTGTTGACTCTGGTCATGAGACTATGAAGGCTCACTGCCCTCTTTGCTCTACTTTAAATGCACTTGAAATTGTAAATGATTAATTAAATGGAAAGCACTTAAACATCAGGCAGTCAATGTTCTCTCACTATTTTTAAAAAGTGGTTTTTGGAAATAAAAACTATTTATATTCACTTCTGTTTTCTTACTTTTCTAGATTATTCAGGAGGAATATGATGTAATGATTTGGAACTTACAGTAAGTTACAATATTAGAACCTCTTCATTTTTTAAATCTACTTTACAGAAACTGTGATATTATCAGGAAATTTGGCTAATTACTAAGCAAGTTTGTGTACTCTGAGAAGTCCTACCAAGATTGTGAAAGTATTTATTTCATAACGACATGGGTGAGTGGTAAAAATGTATTTTTTTTGTTTCAAGTAGAATACATCAATTCTTTTGGACTACATTTATTTAATGCATTCACATATTTTAAAAAATGCAAAGAAGAAATTAAAAGCTGAGATCCTAAAGGTAATTTCTGGTTTCAAAATTCAGGAGACAGCCCTTTTCTGGGCCTGAGAACAAACCCCTCAACACTTTCAGTTAATTCCAGTGTCCCCTTGTAGAAAAAAAATCGTCAGCAACAACTTAGATTCTGCCTTTTTGTTTGCTCAGTATAAGCATAACCCTAGAATATCACTGAAAATAAGCAGTATGGACATCAATATGCTGTGCAAAAGTGAATGCATTATAATCAGGATTTCAACTGTGGCTCAGAAGTTGTAGCTTCTCCCTGTAACTCTGCCTAGTTACATTAAATTGAGAAAACACTGTGAAAGTAACGTATTTAATAACTGTGTGATTACTCCATTGGTAATATCATCCATTTGGCTTCAGGAGTAGGATGAATAGAGGGCCGTGTGTGTGTGTGTGTGTGTGTGTGTGTGTGTGTGTGTGTGTGTGTG